CGCGGCGGGCCGGGCCGCGCGCCACCATGCTGGGCCTGGACGCGTGTGAGCTGGGGGCGCAGCTGCTGGAGCTGATCCGGCTGGCGTTGTGCGCCCGAGGTGAGCGGGGACCAGGCGGCCAAGTGGGCGGGGGTCTCGGGCAGGGTCCCTGCCTTGGCGGAGACCAGCCCCTCCCCTGCGGCAACTTTAGGGACGCGCGTGGGGACCTCGTGGCGCAGACCCCTAGCTGGGGGCTGCCAGAGTGGGGGGCGGGGAGGGCACTGCGTCCAGGCTCGACCCTCGTGGGAAGAAGCCAAGAGTGGAAGGGTGTGTCTGTGAGGCCCTGGAGGCAGTGGGACCTCTCCCCTGGGTGGGGTCTGGGGCTCCCTAGGGCGTGTGGTGAGCCCTGAGAAGTCTGAAGCACAGTGGGCTGGGACTCAAGAAGACCCCTGCCCCAAGGCAGCAGGGGAGATGGTCCCAGAGCATGAGCTCAGGGGGTTAGAGAATCACCCCCATGCTCACAGTGGGGAGGAACCCCTAGGACTGTAGAAGGTGTTCAGAGAGACCCCATCCCAGAGCAGATGGTGAAGAACCCAGCAGTATTTCAAGGTATCATGGGAAGAGCCCAGGATGTGGCCAGCCTCTGGAATATGGGGAGGGTCCCATGGGTCACCACTTTATGGTAGTAGTTCACAGATCCTTGGAGCTATCCTCCATTTGGGGTCTTCATCCCTTTCCACCTTTGGCCTTAGAGTCAAGGAGGGGCCCTGGATGGAGGGCTGGGCCAAAAGGAGCTGGTGCCACCGCAGACCCAGCTTGTCTCTTGGGAGGTTCCCCAGCTGCCAGGGCCCTTCCTAAAGGGCTGGATGCATTGTCAGACCTCTCACGGCTTCCTCTGGCCCACTCTATTCCTGGGCCCTTTGGCAGTGGAGGGTACAGCAGTGAGGGGCACAGCTGGCTCGATAGGGGCTCCAGTTTGGTGCTCAAATGCCAGGGTGAACTGGTGACTGCTGTTCACCCACCATCCTTGACCCCCAGTCCTCCTGACCGACAAGGAGGGTGGACAGCCACAGCCAGACGAAGTGCTGGATGAGGCTGTGCCCCAGTACCAGGCGCCAGGCAGGAAGAGTGTCGTAGAGATCCAGCAGTTGGACCCTGAAGATGAGAGCCTGGCCAAGTACAAGCGGGTGCTGCTGGGGCCTCTGCCACCTGCCGTGGGTATGGGCCCTGGGCTGGGTGGGGAGCAGGTGGGGCTGGCTGGGGCCTCTTGCAGACTTTTGGCTTCTCCTCAGACCCAAGCCTGCCCAACGTACAGGTGATGAGGCTAACACTGATGTCTGAGCAGGCACCAGGGCCCATCATCATGGACCTCACAGGTAACTCCGAGGATGCCTGGCGCAACCCTGAGCCCAAGGGGGCCTACAAGTGCATGAGACCCTGGGCCTATTACTGTAGACATCAGGGGCATTGCACCCCATATAGGGACTCTTGGGGCAGGGTCTCAGCCCATCCCAGGAGTTCAGATTTTAGCTACTGTTTTCCTACCAGGGGACCTGGCTGCACTAAAAAAACAGGTGTTTGTCCTGAAGGAGGGTGTTGATTACAAAGTGAAGATCACCTTCAAGGTAAGGGCAGCTATGGTGGGAGGACCAGCTAGCCAGAGACTCAGCACCAAATGATTCCCTAACACCTCTGTCTCCCAGGTCAACAGGGAGATCGTCAGTGGCCTCAAATGTCTGCATCACACCTACCGTCGGGGACTGCAAGGTGAGGGCCAAGTGGAGGGAGCAGCAGGGTGCTGTGGAGGGGCCCTGCGAGGCAGAGGGCAGCCCCTGACACCCTTGCCCTCCCCCAGTGGACAAGGCTGTCTGCATGGTGGGCAGTTATGGCCCAAGTGCCCAGGAGTACGAGTTTGTGACTCCGGTGGAGGAGGTGCCGAGGGGTGTGCTGGTGCGGGGCCCATATGTTGTCACATCCCTCTTCACTGATGACGACAGGATGGACCACCTCTCCTGGGAGTGGGGCCTCCACATCTGCCAGGACTGGAAGGACTAAATCCCCCCCGACATGTGGGGTCCTTGTTTCTCTTGCCTCCCCCCCCCCAATTGCTACACAGGGACCCCAAAGCATTCCCCAGCTCCCTCAGTGAGTGACCAGACCCTCCCCCAATCTCTGCTCTGTCCTGGGAACCCCCACCCTTGGGCCTGGTGGGCCTCTCTGAACAGTCCCATTAAACATGGCCCTGTCTCGGTGCCCTCTGTGTTGCCTCTTTCTGCCTCCCCCTCCCTGTGGGCTGGGAGAGACGTGGGCCTTATCTTCCCTGTGACCAGACCTGGGTGCCACGTGGCAGCCACTGCTTGGCCTCCAATCCCCTTATCTGCCCCTGCCTCGTGGGGCCTGCAGCACCATGGATGGCCAGCTCCTGCCTGTGCTGCTGCTGCTGCTGCTGCTGCTGCTCGGGAACTCAGGCCCTGGGGGATGGGGACATGGGCCTGAGAGTCCCTCAGAGGAACTCCCTGAGGAGGAGGTGCCCAGGGAGGATGGGATCTTGGCACTGAGCCGCCACACTTTGGGCCTGGCCCTGCGGGAGCACCCCGCACTGCTAGTGGAGTTCTGTGAGTGTGTGCTGGGGCTGGTGGGATAGGGACCACAGGGACTAATGGGCTCAACCTTGCCATGGGCAAAGGGTTATGGGCTCAGGAAGAGGTATCCTAGGGGCACTGGGCCCCTACTGTACCCAGGGTCACTGGAGGGTGCTGCAGTGGGGAGACCTGGGGCTTAGCCAGGTCTGGGGTCTGGTCGGAGCAGGAAGTCATGCAGGGACCTATGGGGCACAGGAGCACCACACCTTCCTGCTCAGCTGTCTGTGGCCATGCTGCTGCTGCTGCTGCTACCTGGTTGGCCACGTCACCAGGTGGCTGTTGGTGGTGTCTTTCTGAACTCGTTCTTTGAAGGCCCAGGCAGCCTTCAGGCTTGGTGGCCCACACAAACACATGTGTCTGTATTTCTGTGGCCCTTTGCAAACATGAAAACCATTCTTAGCTGGCAGGCCTTCACGGGCAGTTCCATTTGGCCTAGGAGCTCCAGTCTTAGAAAGCAGTGATGGGAGCTTCTTCTCAAATTCTCTCCTAGTTTGCTGGTTCCTATGACCAAGCTTTGGGGGTCTCAAGGAGTTGGCTATGGCCAAGGCTCAGGGGGACCCCTGGAGGCAGTGGATGTGAATAGAACATGCTTGCTCCCTGTTGGATCTGACTCTGAAATGCTGCAGGGTCTGGTCAGGTAGGGAGGAGATGTGGCCACAGCCTGGGGCACTCATGGCCCCATCCCCCAGATGCCCCGTGGTGTGGGCACTGCAAGGCGCTGGCCCCCGAGTACAGCAAGGCAGCTGCCCTGCTAGCAGAGAAGTCGATCCCAGCCACGTTGGCCAAGGTGGATGGGCCTGCTGAGCCAGAGCTGACTGAGGAATTTGGTGTGACAAGCTACCCCACGCTTAAGTTCTTCCATGATGGGAACCGCACGCACCCAGAGGAATACACAGGTATAGGGGCAAGTATGGTGTGGGCTGGGGACAGGGCTGGGTCAAGGCTGAAGGGGACTCTCTTCAGGACCCCGAGAAGCTGAGGCCATCACTGAGTGGCTGAGAAGGCGGGTGGGGCCCAGTGCTACTCTGTTGAAAGACGAGGCGGGCGTCCAGGTGCTAGCAGGTACCCAGGATGTGGTGGTCATTGGCTTCTTCCAGGTAAGGTGGTGGGAGTGGGGATCGGGCATGGGAGTAGCAGCCATGGTGCCTCCCAGCCTCACAGGGCTGGTCCCCTTAGGACCTGCAGGACAAGGATGCAGCCACCTTCTTGGCCCTGGCCCAGGATGCCCTGGACATGACCTTTGGCCTCACTGACCAGCCGCAGCTCTTCCAAAAGTTTAACCTTACCAAGGACACTGTGGTCCTCCTCAAGAAGGTGAGTCAGGGCCAAGGTGTGGGTTGGGCTCAGGGCTATGGCTCCCACTAACCCACCTGGTGCTGTCCAGTTTGACGAGGGAAGAGCAGACTTCCCAGTGGACAAGGAGCTTGGCCTGGACCCAGGGGACCTATCTCGCTTTCTTGTTACACACAGCATGCACCTGGTCACTGAATTCAACAGCCAGGTATGTCAGCCATAGGGGCCAGGCAGAGGTCTTGGGGGATTACCTGTGAGTCATGAGGCTCCCTGAGACATCACCTAAGATCTAAGGGGGTACCCTGAGGGAGGGGTGCCCATGAATCAGGAGCCCCTAAAAAATGTCCTCTAAGATCTAGGGGTGCCCTCAGGTGGGGATGCCTGCAAAGATTAGCCCACCCACAGACATCCCCTAAGATCTTGGGGGTATTCTGTGGTTAGAGGTGCCCACCAGTCATGAGCCTGCCCCACAGACGTCCTCTAGGATTTTCGCTGCCAGGATCCTCAATCACCTGCTGCTGTTTGTCAACCAGTCACTTGCTGCACACAGGGAGCTCCTGGCAGACTTCCGGGAGGCGGCTCCCCCCTTCCGGGGGCAGGTACTATGGGGCCAAGAGGGAGAGGTGGCAGGGCCATGGGGGTTCCAGTGCAGACGTCCTTCTGGCAGGTGCTGTTCGTGGTGGTGGACGTGGCTGGGGACAATGACCACGTGCTACAATACTTTGGCCTCAAGGCCGAGGCAGCCCCTACCCTGCGCTTAGTCAACATTGAAACCACCAAGAAGTACGCTCCCACAGACGAGGAGCCTATCACTGCAGCTGCTGTCACTGCCTTCTGCCACACAGTCCTCAATGGTCAAGTCAAGGTCCGCTGCTTGACTGCCCACCCCAGGACAGGGGTGAGGGGTAGGATGGTGGGGGTTGGGATAGTGGGGGGTGGGAGCTGCTTGCAGGACTCTGGCACTACAGAGCCTCCAGTTGAGGGTGCTGGGCCTGGCTTCCCCAGCCCTATCTTCTGAGCCAGGAGGTCCCCTCCGACTGGGACCAACGGCCAGTTAAGACTCTCGTGAGCAAGAATTTCGAGCAGGTGGCTTTCGACGAAACCAAGAATGTGTTTGTCAAGTTCTGTGAGTGTTGAGGGCAGTAGGCAGTGGGGCTGGGCAGTGGGGCCGCACTGGCTATACTCAACGCTTCCATCTCAGATGCCCCGTGGTGTACCCACTGCAAGGAGATGGCCCCAGCCTGGGAGGCTTTGGCTGAGAAGTACAAAGAACACGAGGACATCATCATTGCTGAGCTGGATGCCACAGCCAATGAGCTGGAAGGACTTCCTGTGCACGGCTTCCCCACCCTCAAGTATTTCCCGGCAGGGCCGGGGAGGAAGGTGAAGTGGGTGGACAGGGTGGAGCTAGGACCCTTTCTCCCAAGGTGTGGGGCTGGGTTCGGGTGCTCTGGTCAGGTTATTCCTACACACTGGACATGTCCTGGGAAGGCCCTCTTATCCCTCCTCAGGTGATTGAATACAAAAGCACCAGGGACCTGGAGACCTTGTCCAAGTTCCTTGACAATGGAGGCGAGCTGCCTGTAGAACCCACAGAGAAGCCAGTGACTCCCTTCCCGGTGGGCACCCCGGAGCCAGGGTTCCAGGCCACTGGGCAAGCCCACTTTATGCAAGGCTGACTGGGGTGGGGCAGCCAAGGGCAGAGCCTGAGCTGGCCTGTGATCTTTTCTAGGAGTCACCAGCTAACGCCACTGTGGGGTCTAAGGAGGAGTTATAGCTGCCCCCATCACCGCTGGCCCAGGCAGTGGTTGCCTTGGGTGTGGTGGGGGCTGTGAATAAAGGACTTTGCTTCTGATCTGTGTGACTGGTCACTGAGCAAGGCTGGCCGGCTCTAGCTCTGCCTGGCTCGGCCCTCTGGTCACCCTTTCTGGCCATAGCTCAGCCTCTTGTGGCCGATTCCATCAGGGATGGGGCCCAGCCCACCCCGGGCAGATTCCACCCTGGGCCAGAAGGCAGAGCTGGAGCACACTGATGATGCAGCTCTATTACTATCACACCATAGGACACCCTGTGTCCCTCAGAGGCCAGAGTGACCTCCTTACTGCTGGGGCTTAAGACTGGCCCAGGCCCCACCGGCAGCAAAAAGTGTGCTCCACAGCCAGAGCAGGTTCAAAAGTGTTTTATTTCATTATTATCCAAGTACCTTTGAAAAGATAATTGTACACATCATTGCATGAAAAATGGGCTCGGGCAGCCCCCTGCTGGCCCTGGCCTGAGAAATGTACATATTTACAGGGCCCTCAGAAGGCGGGGACCCGGACCGCTGAGCAGTGCAGTTGGAGACAGGCCCAGGTGCTCTGTTGCTGGGTTCACACAGTGGCAGGAAGAGACACGCTGTGTTAAAGGCACTCGGTGACATGTACAATTTACAGAGACCCCTGCAGGCCCCCTACACCCAGGCCTGGAGCTGGGCCTGACCAGAACAGGGAAGTCCCAGAGGGAGAGTAGACACCCACATGTGAACCCTGCCTGAGGACAGCAGCAGGGCCAGGCTCTCTGAGCATGGCTGTGGGGCATGAGGGGCCGTCCTCAGTGGAGGACACTCAGAGGCCCTGCCCACCAAGATATAGGTGGACTGAGGGACAGCACACCTTGCCCTGCCCTGTGCCCGCATCTGCTGCACACATCAGGGTGGCCCCTGGTTCTGATGTGCTATGTGCTGTGACAGTGTGTTCTCATGGCACAGCGCTGGTCAGTCCACCTTCTCCACCTTGCCAATGATCTTCTCCTCAAAGACAGGCAGGACAGCCTCATCTTCTCGAACTTCCTCAAATACCACTCCACAGTCAAACTCATCACTCACTTTCTTGAAGTAGTATCTGTGGGAGACAGTGGGAAGGCAAAGAGTGGGCAGATGGCTACGGGGACAGCCAGAGACAGAGGTGCCATGCAGAGCCCAGCCCCACAAACCCACCACCCTGTGTGTGCAGCAGTGAGCAGGTGAGATGACTCTGTGTGTGTGTAGTCACATGGAGGAACTGGTGGGTACAGGGCTGACCCCATCTCCACTGTATGTGGCCACTCTTGAAGCCCAGGCCTCCTCTTGTGGCCACTCCCTCCAGTATACTCATAGCCACGTGGTAGACAGAGGAAACCACTCCTCGGAGCCTGCTGTGGCCAGGACCCGGACCTCTCTCCAGGTCTGCCTTCTGTCCCTCCTCAAGGGCTCAGCAGCCCAGGGTGGTCCTTGGTGGGATGGCTTTTTTTTTTTTTTATATTAAGATACAGAGTCTCAAGCTATTGTCCTGGGTAGAATGCCGTGGCATCATCACAGCTCACAGCAACCTGCAACTCTTTGGGCTCAAGCAACTCTCTTGCCTCAGTTTTTTCTTTTGTAGTAGAGATGGGGGTCTCAAACTCGTGAGCTCAACAACTCTACCCACCTCAGCTTCTCAGAGTGCTAGGATTACAGGCATGAGCCACCATGCTCCATCTGGCTTTTCCTTTGTTTTAGATAGTCTTACTCTGTCACTCTGGGTAGAGTGCCGTGGCGTCACAGCTCACAGCAACTTTGAACTTGGGTTTGAGCAATCCTCTTGCCTCAGCCTCCCAAGTAGCTGGGACTACAGGCACCCGCCAAAATCGTGCGATTTTTAGAGATGGGGTCTCACTCTTGTTTAGGGTAGTCTCAAATTCCTGAGCTCAAGCAATTGGGCCTGTCTCCTTGTCCTCAAGACAAGGGTCCTGACCTCTGTGGGGGCCCAGAATCCTGATGCTACCCATGCACTATACTCAGCTAAACAGGTGCAGATGAGTGCCAGCAAATGAGCAGAACAGGAAGCCAGCAACCTGGGCCCTACTGCCACAGATCCCACCCAGCAGGCGTCCCTGCCCCAACTCTCACCTGTAGCTGCCCTTTTTGGTCAGCAGTTCCTTGAATTGGCCCAGGGTGACTGCACGGCCCCTCACCAGAGTCCGGTAGGGGATGGGTTCCCCACAGAAGTAGTAAGCCACCACGATGCTGTCGCAAGACTGGGCATTCCCGCCGCCTGTCTTCCTCTGTGATTTTGTCCTGGAGGCAAACACACAGCATGACTGGTGGGCTCAGGCCTGGTGCTACAGGTTCCCCTGGGCCTTGGGCTGCCAGGAACCGATGGGCAGGACATACAGCTGAGCTGCACCACCAGGAATACCAGGGACCACCCTTCATCTTACCCCAATAGCTTCTCAACCTGGGGTCCAGTCCTGCACTGATCCCACTCCTTGGGGAGCACAGCATCTCTCCGCAGTTCACCTGCTACCCCCTGATGGCTAGGGGCTTCAGCTCCCCCAAGAACACCACAGTGGTGACTCCTACCCAACCACATTGAAGTGAGAGCAGGCCCCTGAAGGCCAACTGTGGTGGACCTTATGTCTTGGCTCCTCAGTGTGACCAGGCAGGCCCGGACTGGTGGGTCCACCTCCAGGATGGGGCCGATGCTGCTTGTACCCTAGCAAGATCCTAAACCCCCAAACTTCAAAAACACTCAAAGGGCAAAGATTGAACAAACAGAATGATGCACAGATCTCAAATGAACCTGCCCTCACAGCAGGGCCTGTCTGAGCACCTTCAGAGTATGTGAGGCCAGCACTGTTTCCTGCACAGGCTGGGGGGCCTCCTTCTACCTTCAGGTACTGCATGGCCACTAATCCCTTGGGGTGATAGGCAAGGACCCCTGCTGGCTCCAGGAGCTGTCCAGACCCACTCAGGCCTAGCCCTTGAGTTCCTGCCAGTGGGGCCTATCTAGAAGCTTCCAGAGTTGGGGTCACAGCCCCATGGACCACCTTGGCAACGTGACCATCCACTTGGTGAACTAGGTGCCCAGGCACCTACTTTCTTGGACCTGCCCCCAGTCCTGCGTCCTTGAGCCAAGAGGGCTCCATCCTGGGGGTTACCTGGAGCAGAGGCTTTGAGTGCACAGTGGGAGGGAGGCCTGGGGACCCCCAACCTCAAAGCCCTTCTTTTGGGCAAACCTCCTCCTGTTATCTTGGGCAGAAGTGCAGGAAGGAGGTAGCCAGCCCTGTCTGCACTGCCCACAGCAGCATGGGGTGTGGATGTGGCAGAGCCTCTCCTCCCAGGCTCTGAGCAGTCAGTGCTTCTGGTGTACTGGCCAGGCTAGCATGTGCTTTCAAGACGGTAGCAGGTGAGCACCCCAATGCCTACTCAAGAGGGTCATGGCTGGAGCCCTGATCCCACTCAAGACAGCCAGATGTGGAACACCAAGTCCCCAGGCCCAGCTAGGGACCTCTGGAAGGCAAAGGTGGGGTGGGAAGTAGGTCTCTGCCTTGCCAAGGCCTGGCTGTGATGCCCATGTGAATGCAGAATCAGCTGTGCCCATGACTTCTCTTGGGTCTGTTGGTCATCTGTACCACCCTGGACGGTCAGTGTTTCCTCTGATGGGGACCTTCTCCAGCCATGGCTGCTCCCACGTGTGGTGCCCAAGCTTCCGTCCCAGAACAGCTGCTCCACTATGGGATGTGGCTCAGGATGCCCAGGCCAAGGTGGGCGGGATGGGAGGCCCTCAGGCACACGTACTCAGTCTCGGAGAGCTCCATGTCCGACACGGCTGGCACCTCACTCAACACTGGCAGGCACACTGGCCTGACGCAGGTGCGTCCCCGCCGCATGACCGCCTGCACATACCTAGGGAACAACCCGCATCAATGGGGCTGCACTGGCTGGCTGCCAGCCTGAGAGGCCTCAACCAGCACTGCTGGGACAACGGGCAGATGATAAAGGGAGAGGCTGCAGTGGAGCCTCCACCTGGGGAAGGTGGACAAGACATGACACTGAGCCTCAGAGGGTCCGCCACAGATGGCCAAGAAACAGGTGTTATTTACTCGGTCCAGAGCATGTCAAATCTGTTATCTGGCCAATGAGCCCTTGAATTCCCTGGAACACACTTTGGGAAGCTGATCTGGGGCGCTAAACCCTTGCCCCTTCATCCGCCCTGGCAGGGTGTCTTCATACCACAGAGGACACACTGGAGACCATCTGTCTGCAGCCTCTTCCCCAGCATGTGGCTCTTCCTACTCAGTTCTCCAACACGGGTCCCCACAGACCACATGGGCACTGGCTCTGAGTGTGATGCCAGCTCCATCTGCACCCAGTGAGGCCAAAGACCTGCTGTCCTGGGGCTCAAAGCACAGTGTCTCCTTTCCACATGGACACACACACTAGGGCACACTGTGTAGCTGTAACAATGATTTCTATTCTGACCTGGCCAGCAGGGCCCCTGCCCACCTCCCATCCAGCCTTTGCTGCTACTCACAAGCCCACATTCCCTGGGAAGACAAATAAACCCAGCAATTCTGGGTTTTCCCCACAGTGGAGACACTGAAGCCACCCCTGAACTATGGCAGAAAGATCACATCTTGACACAAGGCACAGTGTGGTTCTCGTGGCTCAGCGGGAACAAACAGCAACATCCACTAACACGAGGCCAACCAGCGTTGGCAGAAGTGCAGACGTAAATCCAATCTTCTGAAAGCTCCTACCTAGGTCACTTCCTTTGTGACCCTAGGAAGTCCCAGCACTGACACAGGCCAGGCCCCATACTGTCTGTTCTGCCAGGTCACAGGCTGTCTGGCCAGACATGACTCTGAGTGTATACAGGTCTCTTGTCCAGAGCAAGCACTCTGGCTCTTTGTTGGCTGAATAAAGGTCGGGGCAAGGGGACGTTAGCCATAAAATGATCATCCTTTTTGTTGTAAGTAACTGTGACCCTTTCCAGCCCCAAAGTTGGCATCAGCTCAGAGCCTGATGCACACCATAACTTCCAACAATCCAAAGTGCTGCAAAAGGGCTCCACAGCCCAGTGTCCCCAAAACAGAACACCTGGTGACCCAGACAGATGAGAGGAGCTACAGTCACTTTTGAAGGCAAGAGCAGGCTCTGAGAGACAACAGTCCTGAGCCTGAGTTGAGAGATACAGACTCCTGGACACTCTTAGAGACCTTGATAACATTCCAGTGCCCTACACATCTGGAAAGACTCAGAGGAAAGGGCAGACAGGCCAGCTCCAGCCCAGAGAGCAAATGCTGCCACCACAAAGTGCGGTCTCCATGTGGCTGGGGCAGAAATAGTCTTGCCCCAGAAGAGTTTCCTACCTACATATTTCAGAGCCAGGTATCATCCCACCCACGTATAGCACCACGCAGGGTTCTTTCTGGTGTAGTTGTCACCAGGTTGCCAGGACACCCACCTCTGAGCCCAGCCTGCTGAGCAACTAGTAGTCATCTAACCAGTTATTCCCGCCACACTGGGGATCTGCAGTCTCTCATATAACCCAGGCTCAAATGGGAGAAATGGTGAGCAGCAGACCCATCTGAGCAAGGGTAGCTGCCGTCCAGCCCTCTGCCCCTCAGCAGGGCTGCTAGCCATGTGCTCCCCTGAGGGACTCTTTGGTGGCTGTGGCCCCAGAATGTGCTGTGGTGTCCAGTGTGGCCATACCTCTGCTTGGAAGGTGGCCGGCTAGCTCTTTTCTCCTCCTCCTCCAGCCGCCGGCGGGCCTCCTCTAGCTGCGTCAATGGGTTGGGGGCTGGATGGGGTGGCATGGTAGGGTCTTGGATGAAGAGGTGGGAGGGCTGCACAGAGGCCCGGAGCTGAGTGCCAGCCCAGGGGTGCACGGTTCCAGGGCGCTCAAGGGACACGGGCCTGGAGCTCTCATGGGCCTGTGGCTTCCTTGCCCCAGAAGACCTTGGAGAAAAGAGAAGAGTGTGTGGTGGCAGCTAACACCCTGGCCATCCTGTCTGAGGTCTCTATCCACCTTCCCTAGGGGCTGGCCTCCCCAGGGGTGGGACAGGACAGGGGTGTATACCTGGGCCCAGCCACTGAGCCCCATGAATATCCTCCTTAGAACACATGATAAAAATATCTCTCTCTTGCAGACTTTTTTTTTTTTTTGAAACAGAGTCTTATTATGTCACCATTAGTAGAGTGCCCTGGCTCGCAGTTCACAGCAACCTCAAACTCTTGGGCTTAAGCAATTCTCTTGCCTCAGCCTCCCAAGTAGCTGGGACTACAAGTACCTGCCACAATGCACAGCTATTTTTTTATTATAGTTGTCACTGTTGTTTAGTAGGCCAGGCCAGGTTCGAACCCGCCAGCACCCCAATGTGGCTAGCGCCCTACCCACTGAGCTACAGGAGCTGAGCCAAACTTGGTTTTTTCTGATGGGACTATACACATGTGCCACCATGCTCAGCTAATTAACAAAAATTTTTTTAGAGATGGGGTCTTGCTATGTTTCCCAGGCTGGTCTCAAACTCCTGGGCTCAAGAGATCCTCCCACTTTGGCTTCCAAATGTACTGGGATTACAAGTGTGAGCCATTGTGCTTGGAATTTTTTTTTTTTTTGAGATAGAGCCTCAAGTTGTTGCCTTGGGTAGAGTGCCATGGCATCACAGCTCACAGCAATCTCCAACTCCTGGGCTTAAGCAAGTCTCTTGCCGCAGCCTCCCAAGTAGCTGGACTGTAGGTGCCCACCACAACACCTGGCTATTTTTTGGTTGTAGTTGTCATTGTTCTTTGGCAGGCCCAGGCTGGATTCTAACCTGCCACCTCTGGTATATGTCATGGCTGGCACCTTAGCCGCTTGAGCTACAGGCACCAAGCCAAGAAAAAAAATTTTTTTTGAGACAGAGTCTCACTATGTTACCCTGGGTAGAATTCTGTGGTGTCATGGCTCACAGCAACTTCTAACGCTTGGGTTTAAGCGATTCTCTTGCCTCAGCCTCCCAAGTAGCTAGGACTACAGGCGCCTGCCACAATGCCTGGCTTTTTGTTGCAGTTGTCATTGCTGTTTAGCAGGCCCAGGCCGGGTTCAAATCTGCCTGCCTTGGTATATGTGGTTGGCACTCTACCCACTGAGCTACAGGTGCCACCCTTCTTCTTTTTGAGACAGAGTCTCACTCTATCACTCTAAGTAGAGTGCCATGGTGTCATCATAGCTCATAACAATCTCAAACTCTTGGGCTCAAGCAATCCTCATGCCCCAGCTATTCCTGAGTACACTATAACACCTAGCTAATTTTTCTATTTTTAGTAGACATGAGGTCTCGCTCTTGCTCAGGCTGGTTTCGAACTCCTAAGCTTAAGCAATCCTCCCATCTCAGCCGCTCAGTGTGCTAGGATTACAGGTATGAGCCATTGCACCAGGCTAGAATTTTTTTTTTTTTGAGACAGAGTTTCACTATGTCACTCTCAGTAGAGTGCTGTGGCACCGCAGGTCACAGCAACCTCCAACTCTTGGGCTTTAGTGATTCTCTTGCTTCAGCCTCCCAAGTAGCTGAGACTACAGGC